AGGTCTGACTCAGCTACACGTGTATTTCGCAGATTTCCATCAACTTTTTCTCTACGTTCTGTATATTTTAAACTAATAATTTTGGTAAGAGCATTAATCATAAAAATTTAAAATAAAATTTTAATCGATTAGATGTTAGATTAATTGTATAACTGCAATAAGCTTTATAATCAGCCGTAGAGATAGCGACTAGGATGATTACATAACATTACTCAACTATGACATGGAATGAAAATTACTTTCCATAATTAGCGGCCGTATTCATATTTTATCTCGTGAATTTTTATAAAAAAATTTTGTGGAGATTTATTTATGTACCTTTAGTTTTATTTTTTATTATAATTATGTCTCTCGCTAGAGTTGAAAAAACGTTTATAGTACACACGCTTTGACACGATAAAAAATAACGATACGTGCACATCAATTCACTTCATATTATTCTACACGTTAGATTGAAGAGAAAAAAAGAAATAAAAATGAAAAGTTGCTGATATCTCTTTTCTTCATCTCTCTCTCTCTCTTTTCTACATGTTTTACCATTTTTCCTCCAGAGAATCAGTTTTCTACTATTTTTTATTAATTATTGTCTGCGTTTTTTTTCCTGAGTGATGATGCTCTCCATCCGTGCTTCATGAATCCTGCCTATAGTCAATAACATAGATTTGATTTCGGAAAAAAACTTTGGCAAAAAATAAATTCGCTTTGAATCTAAAAATTTATTTGTTTTTGTAAAATAATTTGCAGAAAAATATTTTTCACAAATTTTCGTTGTTTGTGGCATTTAGGAAAATAAGTCTACAGAAAATATTTTCTTAGTCAAAAGAAAATTAAATCATTTTTTAAGGAAAATAACATCTATTTCTCGAGAGAACAAAACATTTTCTGGACAGCAAATCTTATAAATTCATATTTTTTAATTTATTAATCATCATAATCACTACCACCAGTCACCATTTACTACTGACCACGACCACCGGCCACCAGCGGCTTTCATAAATTATATTTTTTTGCATTCTTTTCATATTTAACAATAAAAAATAAGTCTTACAGAAATTTTTCTTGGTTCAAAAGCAAAATTAAATCATTTTTTTTAAGGAAAATAACATTCTATTTCTCGATGAGAACAAACATATTTTCTGACAGCAAATCTTATAAATTCATATTTTTTTAATTTATTTAATCATCATAATCACTTACCACCAGTCACCATTACTACTGACCACGAACCACGGCCCCAGCGGTCTATTTCATAAATTATATTTTTTGCATTTCTTTTCATATTTAACAATAAAAATTTTTTAAATTTAAAATTTTCTATTATTATTAATATTTTTTATAGTCTTATTGAGGATAGGTCTTATGAGATAAAGACTTTAATATTTGTAACTAATTTTCAATATTACAACCAAACAACGAAAAATAAGTCATTTGAAAAATATTTTTCAACAAGTTATTTTCCTGCAAATTATTTTACAGAAACAAATAGAGTTTTAAAGCTAAATTTATTTAAATCAGTCTTTTATTTAAAAATTTATTTAAATATTTTTAAACCAAACCGTAGGCCACCTGTTCCGGTTCCCACTAGTTTCGGTTCCGGTTCTAGGAACTGTAATTTCGCCACCCCTAGAGACAGACTATTATTTGAATGTTGCAGATGTATTGTCGTTTGAATGTCAAATTCAAGTTTAATGTGGAGAAAAAGATGAATGCAGTGTCGTTTTGACGCATTAGATGTGTATTAAGTCCCTCACGTTCAACCTTGTGAGTAAATATACGCGCTCTTATGCCAACGCGGCAAGGTACATGACTATAACAGAAAATGAAACTTGAGGTACAAAAATGGTCTCCCGCAAACTATAGGGGGCATAAGGTTTTTTTAGCAAAATACATGGGACAAAGTATGCATTTGACCCATAATTAATTGTATTATTTTAGAATGTTTGATTTAGCTTTCAAACCCACTTTTTAGATGAAAATAATAAGAGGGTGTTTTGATTTTATTTTTAAATCAATCAAATATATTTTTAAAAAGAAAATTATAAGTGAAATATATTTGATTTGATTTGTAAATTAAAAAAATATTTAAAATAAATTAGAAGTCATAAATAAGATATATTTTATTATTGATTATTTACTTATTTTAAATCTAGTCTTTGACGGAATAAAAAACTATTTATCTTAATGAATTTTTAAAATGTCAAAATTATCATTAGTACAGAATTTACACTAGGATTAAGAAGTTAGTTTAACTGAAATTTTTTCCCATTTTTTTGCCTATAAACAACCATAAACTCTTCTTCAAGTTTGAATGTAAGCCCTTTCTCGATGCAAAATTGGTTCAAGACCGAGCTATGCATTGCATAGTCTCATGGAAGCAACGTGGATTATTCAAAAGGGTATATATTATTATGGTAAGTTGGTATTATGAACCCGCCCGTAGATAAACCAATGAAAAGTACTTTTTTTATATATATAAAAAAAAACAATGGTATTTCTTATTATTCACTCAGGGAAAAAAGGTAAATTAAAAAATAATTTTTAAAAAAATCTCTATTGTAATTGTTTTAGTATGTGAATGAGCTGATAGGTTTAGATAATTTTTATCCTTTAAATTAAGCAATATTATATCTACACGTTCAATGTTGTGTTATTTCCTCAATTTCTTTTTATATTGTTAGTGCCACCTATAAAATTTGAATGATTAAAATTAATAAATTTAACTAGAAAAAAAAACAATAGAACATGAATTCAATAGAAGACCATGATCAGACTTCAATTAAGCAATTAGAATTTAATTTATCAGGAGTGTTCTTTTTTATAATACTTATCACATTTGTGGTTTTAAAGAGTAATATTTTTTTTCATGTTTACCCTTTATATATGACCAATCACTATTATTTCAATTAAATGGTTTTTTTAGAAAATTAGTATTAAATTAAGAGTAATATAGTTAATCCACTTAATAATTTATTGTAATTTAGATAAATTTAATGATTTTCTTAAGAGACGTGAAATTTCAAATGTGACAAATATTATTATTGAAGGTAGTAACAAATAGACAAATATATATTCACACACAAAAAAAGGAAGAAAATAGCCAATTATTAATCCAAATATCAAAATACCAAAATCCCCCTCCTCAATTTATGTGCAATGTATCTTCACTAAAAGCAAATTAAGAAATTAATAATAAACAATACAAGATGCAATCAATTAATCTATAAAATAAATTTGTATACACAATAATATGTTGTGTTATTTTTATTCATCGTTTCACATATTTTTTTTCTTTTAGTGTTAAATCACACGTGTTTCCAATCTTTTGAAATATGTTTTTAAAAGAAAAAACTTTCACGTACAAGAAGTGGAATTTTCATGTTTTCCTTGGAAAATTAGGTCTATAAAATTGAATTCAGAGGTTCCAACTCATCTACACGTCATTTCCCATTCAAGAAATGGCGAAATGCAAACTGTGATCAAATTCTCTCACCAACCCAGTAAACAGCTATTGGATAAGATAAAATCATTTCAGTCATACACAGTTTAACCATAGTTATACTGCCACGTCATAAAGAAACGTAACGCTCATAATTTAAAGGAGTAGGAGATATTTTGGAAGTGCTAAAACTGTCAAAACTAGTCAGCCTCGTAAATCCACACGGTGCCTCCACTTCAGGACCAAGATATTTTTCAGAAGTGATCTCATGTTTCTAGGTTTGAGCGATTATTGGTTCTAAATGGAACCGGTTTGATCAAATGTTTCAGTGATTTAATCAATCATCGATGCGGTTAGAGAAAACCATTTAGTTTCTTTTTTTTTTTCCAATTCAATTTTATCTATTTTATATATATTTTTTTTTTTTCCAATTCAATTTTATCTATGTTTATATATTATACTATATTATTTATATATATATATATCATATATAATATATATATAGCGTAGTGCCTTAAGTCGATCTAATTGATTTTTTACAGTGCCGACAAATATCTAGATTCAGGTTTTTCACAAATAATCACCAATCTAAATTAAAAAATTGAATCAACTTAATTAATTCAAGTTTTGATATATATAATCTAATTGATTTTTACACCCAAATATCTAATTCAGTTCAAAATAATCCAACTAAATTAAAATTGAATCAACTTAATATTATTCAATTTTGAATTTAATTATCATAAAAAAATATTTATTCAATTCAATTCGCTTAAATTAACCGATGACTACATTTTTTGGAGCCATCTAAGTTTTTGTTTCGTTCATGATTGGTTACTTTTTGAAAATTATTTTTTTTAGTGAAGAAAATATGTTTTTTAAAAAACATATTTTTAAGTTATCCTTTTAGAAATATACTAACTCATTATACGTGTATAAATTAGCTTTTAAAGATATAAATTGCTTTCAAATTATAAGTATAATTTATAAATTTTAAAAAATATTTAAATAACATGATAATTTAAATATTTTTTTAACTTTGAAGTAATTTAACTTTGAATTTGTCTGCACAAATTTTTTCTAAAATTGAGTAATTTTATAATTTTAGCAATGTACTAATGAATTTCTAATTAAAATCAGGTATAAAATAATAATTTCTCACGTGCATTGATGCGTCAGACATGACATGGCATTGAATGTAACGGAAGGTGGCCGACGTCTAAGCATATAAAAAGTTAAAACCAACGGTGAAGGTTACGTGGTCAGGTCGGCGGTTCACATGCATGCAATTTAGTTCAGTCCATCCATGTCTTGTCAAACAAAAAGATGTGCAATTGTTCTTGTAAGATTTTTTTATTGTAGGATAAATTTGGTTTAATGACAACAATCATAAATTGATTAAACCTTTCATAATCAAGAGCTGTTGAAACCCAACTACACTAAAAGTTGGCAATTAATTTTTATATTTATTAAAAAAATAAAAAAATCCCAATAATTAATTCCCGCCATGGATAAAAATATTTAAATTTTTTTTCTTAATTTATAAAAACACAGAAACCGAGGAAGGACTTGCCCTCCTTTACGGAGTCCCTGCTTTGCAATATTTGAAATTTGCAACTCCTTAGAGAAACATAGCTCCCGGTTCATCTCCTATAAATACCATCTTCATTATCTAAACCACCTCATTCTTTCAACTTACCCTTGCTGTTTTCCTTTTTTTCGCCTTTCATTTTTGGTTATTAGATTTCTCTGTTATTAGGTAACACAGAAGATGACGGTCGGGGCAGGAATAACAGTGGCTAATGGGAAGTTGATGGTTTTAGGAAATTGTGTTTTGAGTGATGTTCATGACAATATTGAGATCACACCCGCAGCTGCTGATGCTTTTGTCAATGGAGCTTTCATTGGTGTCCGATCTGATCAAACCGGTTGCCGCAGAGTCTTCCCTGTTGGAAAGCTTGAGTATGCTCTCTCTCTCTTGTCTTTGAATTCTTTGTTGCTAGTAAGAGAAGAAATAAATTTCTCAGCTGCTTGCAATATCGATTTGGGTGATGATTTAAGAAGTGGGTAAGCGATAGATTTTCAATTTGTAAGTAGAATCTCATTCAAACATAATTGATTTGCAGTGGATTGCGGTTTATGTGTGTTTTTCGGTTCAAGTTATGGTGGATGACGCAAAGAATGGGAAATTGTGGTCAAGATATTCCCTTTGAGACCCAATTTCTGATTGTGGAAGCAAAGGATGGTTCTCATTTTGACGAGATTGGAGATAACCAATCTGCTGTGTATACTGTGTTTTTGCCGATTCTTGAGGGTGATTTCAGGGCTGTTCTTCAGGGGAATGAAAGAAATGAGTTGGAAATTTGTCTGGAAAGCGGTACAAGAAAAATTAAATTAATTATAAACTGTATCAAATTATTATTTTTAGATGTTTTTGCTCTTATTGAACTGAAAAAATTGCTTTCTTTATTACTGTGCAGGAGATCCTACTGTCGATGAATTTGACGGTAATCATTTGGTTTTTGTGGCTGCTGGATCTGATCCTTTTGATGTCATTACAAATGCAGTCAAGTAAGTAAAATTTCCATAATAAAATTTTCTGTTCATTTTAATTTATTTTTAGTAATTTAGCTTATATACATAATGCAGGTGCAAGTAAAAGTAAAATTCCACCATAATAAACAATTTTTTGTTCATATATTAATTTAATTTTTAGTATTAGCTAATATATATTATAAAGTATATATAATAATATAGTATACTTTTTTTGATTTTCTTAGTTGGGTTTTGGAGGTTTTTGAAAGAACTCACCTTTAAAATGTGATTCCATATTTTTGAGTAGAAAAATCAAAATTTCATTGAAACTGCTTTCGGATTTATGATAATAATGAATCGTGAATCTGGAATTTGCAAAATATAAAATTCTCTGAATAGTTTAGATTAACATTCTGTTTTCCTACTAGCCAGTTTTATCGAAGGAATTGTGATCTAAGAAGGCTTTTTTGTTTTATTAAAATGATATTTCAACAAAACTGGATTTTCCATTATTTTTGTATTTTGGTATTAAAATGAAAATTCAACAAAATCAAGATCAAATTCCGTTTATTTATAAGTGAATTATGCATTCATTTCATTTTATCCAAAGCAGTGGATAAGATAGCAATAAAAGATAACGTTATTCATTAATATTAATTGACAACTCAAACTTTCAAATTCTTGCAGGATATATATATATATATATATATTTTTTTTTGATTTTCTTTAGTTGGGTTTGGAGGTTTTTGAAGAACTCACCTTTAAATGTGATTCCATGATTTTTGAGTAGAAAATCAAATTTCATTAAACTGCTTTCGGATTTAGATAATAATGAATGTGAATCTGAGAATTTGCAAAATATAAAATTTGAAAGTTAATAAATTCTGTTCCTACTGCCAGTTTTATCAAGGAATTGTGACTAAGAAGGCTTTTTTGTTATAAATGAATTTCACAAACTGGATTTTCATATTTTTGTATTTTGTATAAATGAAATTCAACAAAATCAAATCAAATTCCGTTATTTATAAGTGAATTATGCATTCAATTCATTTATGCCAAACAGTGGATAAGATAGCAATAGAAAAGATAACAGTTATTCATTATATTAATTGACAAACTCAAACTTCAAATTCTTGCAGGACAGTTGAAAGACATCTGCAAACCTTTTCTCATCGCGAGAGAAAGAAGGTATTTTATTTCCCTTCTTTCTAATTGCTGTAAATATTTGTATCCATTATAAATATATTATGTTTTATGGTTCAGATGCCAGACATGCTGAACTGGTTTGGCTGGTGCACATGGGATGCTTTTTACACTGATGTTACTGCAGAGGGTGTAAAGCAAGGACTGGAAAGGTATATATATTTCTAAAGAACAATATTTTCCAGCACATGAAAGTTGATACTAATATTAACTGGTGATTCTTGCAGCCTACAGAAAGGTGGAATTTGTCCCAAGTTTGTTATAATAGACGATGGATGGCAATCGGTTGGAATGGATCCCTCTAGTATTGAAGCCAAAGCGGATAATACAGCCAAGTAATTACTTGAATCATCGTAAATTGTTCTTGGTCTTTATTTATAATTAGTTTTCTGGTGCTTTAAGCTAACAAATTTCTGTTTATGGTGTTTTTACCTCTCAGCTTCTCAAACAGATTAACCCATATCAAGGAGAATCACAAATTCCAGAAAAATGGTGAAGAGGGGCACAGAGTAGAGGATCCGGCATTGGGGTTGCGCCATATTGTCACAGAAGTTAAAGAAAAACATGATCTTAAGTATGATTTCCTGACTAAACATATATACAAACCAAATTCCTAGATTGATGCAAACTTTGATGCTAATGATGCATTTTTTTTCATAAATCTTCAGGTATGTTTATGTTTGGCACGCAATTACTGGGTATTGGGGTGGAGTAAGACCTGGTGTAACTGAAATGGAACACTATGAATCTAAGATGGCATATCCAATTTCATCTCCTGGTGTTCAATCAAATGAGCATTGTGATGCATTGCAAAGTATCATAATGAATGGACTTGGGCTTGTGAATCCGGAAAAAGTTTATAACTTCTATAATGAACTCCATTCATATCTTTCATCTGCTGGAATCGATGGTGTCAAAGTTGATGTTCAGAATATCCTTGAAACTCTCGGAGCAGGTCATGGTGGAAGAGTGAAACTTGCTAGAAAATACCATCAAGCACTAGAGGCATCAATTGCAAGGAATTTCCCTGACAATGGAATCATTTCTTGTATGAGTCACAACACAGATGGGTTGTACAGGTAACTAGTTTCTCTCTTAACCTTATATATTATACTTTTCATTTTTAAACTTGTTATTTTCAATATTTGTTAATATTTTTGTCTTTTTCTTTGCAGTGCAAAACGATCGGCTGTTATAAGAGCATCAGATGATTTCTGGCCAAGAGACCCGGCATCACACACAATTCATATTGCATCAGTTGCTTATAATACTATTTTTCTTGGAGAATTTATGCAGCCTGACTGGGACATGTTTCATGTAAGCCCTTAAAATTAGATTTCTCATTTATATTGAGCTCCAGAAATTTTAAAAAAAAAAAAAATCGGTATCATTCAATTATTTGTTTGGCTTTGGCAGAGCTTACATCCAATGGCTGAATACCATGGAGCAGCTCGTGCAGTCGGAGGATGTGCCATTTATGTTAGGTACGGTTACTTGTCATGAACATAATGAAACCAAGCCAACCACAGTAAAATTTTTGTATTAATTAGGTGCCTCTGTATTGCAGTGACAAGCCTGGACAACATGATTTTAATCTACTGAAGAAGCTTGTGCTATCTGATGGGTCTATTTTGAGGGCTAAACTTCCGGGAAGACCTACAAGGGATTGTTTATTTTCCGATCCTGCTCGAGATGGTAAAAGGTAATCAAGAAATTTTCTTTTTTTGAAAAATTTGACTTAAGATGTTTTGGAGATTTTATGTATTGCTTTTACTCTTTTTGCTAAAAAAACTACCATTGGTGTTCCAGTCTTCTGAAGATATGGAATCTGAATGATTTCACTGGAGTCCTGGGTGTGTTCAATTGCCAAGGAGCTGGATGGTGTAAGGTGGGGAAAACAAACCTTATTCATGATAAAAAGCCGGCTAAAGTCACTGGTTCTATTCGAGCTAAGGATGTCGATTATCTACCTAAAGTTGCCGGTGATGGATGGTCTGGGGATAGTATTCTATATTCTCATCTTGGTGGTATGATATACATTCCATGGTTTGGTCAAATTTTATGCTTAGTTATGCGTGCACCCCTTATTTGTTATAAACGAATATAAAATAAATAATTATAAATGACAAAATTTGGTTTAGTTATGTTGAATGTCATAAAATTTAGGTTTCTGTAATGCAAATTGCAGGAGAAGTAATTTATCTTTCGAAGGATGCAACAATGCCATTTACATTGAAGTCTCGAGAGTATGAAGTTTTCACAGTTGTTCCTGTGAAAGAACTACCCAATGGGGCTAAATTTGCTCCGGTTGGTCTACTCAAGATGTTCAACTCAGGAGGGGCTATTAAGGAGTTGAAATATGATTCAAAGACAAATGCAGCTGTTTGCATAAAAGCCCGTGGCTGTGGCCTGTTCGGAGCATATTCATCAACTCGGCCGAAGAAGATAACAGTTGATTCGGAGGAAATGGAGTTCGGATATGAAGAAGGATCTGGTTTGATCACTCTGGAGTTGAGAGTTCCTGAGGAAGAGTTGTACTTGTGGAACGTAACAGTAGAATTATAGAATATTTATGTATTTAGGATGATTCAAAACGTTTGTATCTGTGACAACTTGCTGTTGTAGTATCCTTTATTCATATTCATGTATATGCATAAAAGTGGAGATCATGCAGACACTTTTTCAGTCTGTATGATTTCTAGCATCAATGAATTAATTTTGCTTGCAGAAGTTTTGTTCTTTCTTTCGTTTCTTTTTTTTTTTACCTGGACAAATTGCAGAAAACACAGTCTGGGCAAGGTGTTATGTTCCTTAGGAGTGGACATTTAGCGGGTAGTTTGCAAGTAGCCGTCTACTAAATTTGCATGAATTGATTTACAAATTTGAGTATTTATAGTTTACCCACTGATTTACAAATTTACGAAATCACAAATTTGTTGATGGAATTTTTACTATTTACCGAATTGATTGGTTCACTATATTAGGGTTAGCTTTTTTAAAAAATAAAAAATAAATAAAACAACACATATTTTGAGTACATTAATAAATTGGAAATTCTGATTTTTTTTTTTTTTGTTCTTACTAAACCATTACCTATTTTGTTCAAAAATTTATCATATTGTTTACGGCTTTACTAAACTATTTTTTTACCGAATAACCTCGATTTAGCTCGATAAATCAGTTTTTTTACTCCCCTAATCCTGGAAACCTGTTTTGGCATTGAGTTATACAAAAATCATACTCTGTGTTAGAGGAGAATCAGAAATTTTTTTTTAGTTTTTTAGTTTTTTTACCTATAGTTAAAACTAGCTAAATGCCCAGTGCCCACCCTCCTACGACTGCATGCTAACAAACCCACTAAAACTAAAATATAAAACACAAAAGAAACGACTTCATTACATATATATAAAGTGGAATAGAATAAAAAAATCAGACACTAGTTAAATAAAATGAAAGTTACAAAAGAAGTGCATGTATCTCTTGTTCTGTCATTTATCTGCAGCTGGTGTTGGATTTGCTTGTAACGAAAGGCCAACTTGTTGGCGGCCAGTAGAAGCAAATTCAGTAACTCATCTCAGATGCAGTCTCAGCGCTCTCATTGGCTTCTCTACGACTGCATACTCTGATACTGACAAACCCAACTCAGTCTTGCTTATGTTCTTTCGCAAGAATCTGCGGTATATCGTCCACTATAGGGGAAGGACAAAAGAAAATTTACTATGGTTCTCTTGTGCAATTCAGGGGCATGCATATAACACTTTCCCCAAGATGGGCGATACGTGGATTCCTGATGATATATTTGAAATGAAGCCACTAATTCGAAACATCAATGGTGCAGGTAAATTACCTGACTAGTAGTCTCGGGAGTTCCTGATGATTGCATAAATGCTATTTGTTACATTTGAACTACTCCAGGAGAAAGAGGAAAGTTTTCAAAGAAAACAAATGAGACTGTGAAGAAATTCTCTTAACTGTAGACATGGTCTAGAGGAATATATAAAAAATTTTTGTTCTTGTTCTAAATTGCATAAATTTTCTCCAATTCTTGTAGCTTGACCATCGTATCCTTGCAACTACAAGCTTAATGTCCATTGGTGCATTGTGGTGGTTCACAAGAAAGTTGGAAATACATCCAGCAGTGCGATCTTTAATTGGAAGCACAGTTGGCATGGCTGCTCTTCAGGTGATTTTTCACTGTAAATTGTGTTTCTAATCTATGCATGCTTTCCCTGTTGAAAAGAAAAAAAAATGGCATTCATGGTTGTTTCTTCATAACTAGTTTTCCCCTGGTGTAAAATGCATTATTGTCATTTTTACAGGTCACTTTAGGATTATCGACACTTCTATCATACGTGCCTGTATCACTTGGCACTTCACATCAAGCTGGAGCCTTAACCCTTTTGACACTTATGATTCTGCTCAACCACACAGTACGCAAGCCATCTATATCCCTTCTCAAATCACTTCGTAAAGTTGTGAAGACAGTGTAAAAGAATTAGTTTAGTTGTATCAAATACAGAAGTTATTCACTGGATTCTTTCGACATAATTTAATGACTGATCTTCAACTTCAGGGTGATTATTCGAAAAAAAAATATGAGGATACCATCATTTAGTGTGATTGAAACAGATAATTATATGAAAATACCATCATTTAGTGTGATTGAAATAGATAATTAATTTGCCTCGTTGAACTTTATTTACAGCTTGTTTGCTTTTGTAACTAATTGAATTCGGAACTCAACATTCTAGCTTCTATGCAGTTTCAGACTCCATTTTGGTTTGGATGGTAAACATTGTCCTATAAGGGGAATTTTATTTATCTTTATGTACCCAGAGATTGATGGGTAGGTACTGTGTGGAGAATGCATATTTTATTTCAATAAAATATTGAAAACACAAAGAAATTCAAAAAGATAATAACCAACCTAATTACTGCGATTTGCCTGCCAACAATTTAAACTAACAATGTATATGGTAGCTCATAAACCACATTATAAAGCTTCAATTGTTTCCAAAACTATAGTTGTACTCTGCGTCATTATATTTTTTTTTGAATACAAGTGATTGCTTGTATAAAGTGTTCAGAAGATTTGGAGTGTTTAGATGGATTTCAATTGCTCAAATAAGTTTTATAAAGCCATCCTCCTCCCAAACAACTAAATAATCTCTCTTTTACCTTACTTTACGATCCAAGCTCACCAAATAACCTTCATTAAAACAATATGTCAGTAAAACCTTATCCATTTATAAATAGGATGGACATAGATCTATACCAATACTACTCGGAGCTTATTCGAATCTGACTTGATTAATTTTTTTCTCTTTTTTCTTTAAAAAGCAAGGTTTTTATTTATTATATATATATATTAATTCGGACATGACCCTAAATCAATATTTTGTTTATTGGTGAATTGGATGCCAACAATAAAAATTTTAACTTGAATCTGATACATAACCATCTCTGAATGTGAAAAATGTGAGTCTATAACTAATAATGAACATACATGAAATTTTCTTTCTAAAAAAATGTGAAAATTCAATTTAAAAATAAATTTTAACAATTTTAAATCAACACTTTGATCGAAATATATATATATATATATATTTTTGAAGTTGGATGCCAACAAATCAATAAATTTTAACTTTGAATCTGATTACATACGACCATCTCTGAATGTGAAAAACGTGAGTCTATAACTAAATAAATGAACATAACATGAAATTTTCTTCTAACAATAATGTGAAAATTCATTTAAAAATAAATTTTAACAATTTTAAATCAACACTTTGATCGAGAATATTATATTTATATATATATATATATATTTTTTAATAATAACTCAAATATATAATTGAAAAAGGAGCAACATATAGCTTGACTAAGTGATACTTATATAATCGGGTTCATCTAGCTAGGTATTACTATCCCTGTTCCATAATACTTGTTACGTTTGAAAAAATAGTTTATTCTAAAATACTTGTCACGTTTGTGGTTTCAAGGAGTAATAAATTCATTTTTTCCATGTTTACCCTTTATATCAATACTTATTACTTCAATTTAATGATTTTCTTAAAGAATGAAGTATTAAATTAAGGGTAATATAGTCACTTTATTCAATAATTTATTGTAACTTAGATATAAATTAAGGGTAATATAGTCACTTTATTCAATAATTTATTGTAACTTAGATAAATTTAATGGTCTTTTTAAAGAACGTGAAACTTCAATGGTGATAAGTATTATAGAAACAGAGGTAATAATAAGTAATTTATTTAGTGTGTCTTTTTTTTTGAAGTATTAAAAGAGAAGAATTCGAATTTAAATCTATTATGAAATTATATTTAGATCTAGATTCAAACCCAAATCTATACTAATTGTCAATATTTTTTGAGTGATTCCATACCAAAGAGGAATCCAAATCTGAATTAGTCCTTTTTAATCCATCCTAATTTTGAACCAAAATTTCCAATTGGTTGAACCCAACTTATAGTTACCTAATAGTTACCTATATTATAATTATATATTTTATATATATATATTAATATATATATATATATATACTTAGTGTATAATAATAATAATAATAATAGTAATAATAATAATATTAACTTTGTAATATTTTAACTTAAAAAATAACTGTAACAATTTTTATTACAATAAAAGAAATGAAATTTACTATAAAAAAAATTTAACCAGGTATTTTTGCTCTTAGATCAAGCGTGGGTCTTGATTTAGCCCATCACTTTATATTAGAAGTGGAAGAAGTCTCAAGTTTTCAGCTTCTCGACCATTAGTTGTTTTGATTAATTTGACGAGTTCAGATGTTAGCCCATAAAGACCTTATTTCGACCGATCAAATCTTCCTAATAAATAATCTTTCGAGCTTAAGAAAACATAGGAAAGTATAACAAATAATAGAAGCTTGTCTGAATGATGTAGTGTATAATAATAATAATAATAATAGTAATAATAATAATATAACTTGTAATATTTTAACTAAAAAATAATGTAACAATTTTTATACAATAAAAGAAATGAAATACTATAAAAAAAAATTAAAGTATTTTGTTAATCAAGCGTGGTCTGATTAGCCTCATCACTTATATTAGAAGTGAGAAGTCTCAAGTTTCAGCTTCTCGACCATAGTTGTTTTGATTAATTTGACGAGTTCAGATGTAGCCCATAAAGATATTTCGACCGATCAAATCTCCTAATAAATAATCTTTGAGCTTAAGAAAACATAGGAAGATAACAAAATAGAAGCTTGTCTGAATGAGCTGTGTGTATTCGCAGTATGGAGGTGGCCTGCTTTGGCCGACTGCAATTTTTATTCTTATTTTCTAGTTCGTCAATAATTATTTAAATTAAAATTAATAGTGAATGATGTTAGTTACCTTTTATTTAATTTTGTTAAAGAAGGCCAAAATAGTAATTAATGCCCAGCCGATTGTCGTGCGTGCGTGCCTTCACGATTCGTATGAAACTTCCTCGAAGTTTCCAAGACAAAAAACAAAAGAAAAAAAGGTATCTTTCTAAATTATAAAATATCTTTTTTTGACAAGAAATTATAAAATATCTTTATATTTCTGAAACAAAACAAAATAATAATAAAATAATAACTGGAAATTGGATCCGCTGTACCATCCATCTTGTTCAAAAATAGTAAACTATGTACTACTAATCTTACGGTCAAATTCAATTCTTTTCTGCTCCATAATTATTTTGATTTAATAATTTAAAGCAAAGCATTGTATCACATCCAGGGTGTTTGGTGGGTTTTCCTTTTTGGGTTTTGGTTGGATTTGTATTTGAATTTCATCGGTTACTGCTTCTTCTGCAACTGTCGAAGGACAAAGGTTTGTTTCTTTTCTCAGATCCTGTACTCATGAAGCTTTCATTTTCTGCTGTTACTGTTTGATTTCTTGATTGGATTCTTGATTTGTATATTTTAATGGTTTCTGATAGTTTACTGCTACTTGATCTGTACAAGAAATGGGTGGGTGTATTATTGCAATATTATTGTTGAGGAGTGAAATCATACTAGGGTATTTGTGATTTCAGTTTCTGACACTATTGGGTTGTGTAAATTGTATTTTTTTTTTTTTTTGTATAATTTTAATGCTTTATTTGCATTTGTTTCAAATGGACATGTATTATGATTCTTAAATTTTTCTTTAAAAAAGTAAATGAAAATTTTACAACCGTATCTTAAAGCTTCTACTTATTATTTTTTGCGGTGGTTTGAATGGTTATTATGGTTACATTAATAGAGAAGATTTAGTATGATAACTTAAATGCTTTTAGGAGTGTATTAGGTTGCTTGTTTTATTGCATTAACTTGGCTTGTGAATCCAGGACCCTTTTCTTTGGAATTGAGAAAACTACTGTCTATACTCCATGTGCTGGTGCTTATTCATGGATGTGGCAAGAGATTTGTTCTTATAATTCCTGGGGATGGATTACAAGTTACAAGCGGTAGGACTTCAATCCCAACTTGAAGTAAGTAGCTTATTCATTTTCTTCTGTTAAGAAACTGATGTGAAAACCTTGTTTTGCAGCACTTGATGCTTAAATTTTGTATTTTTTCTGCTGTATTAAGTCCAATTTTTTAGCTCCCATATAAGTAAGAAGTATATAAAGTCCCCTTGATTGCAATACAAATGATGATTTCTTATCAAAGAATTGTTGTTATAACAGTTGGGATCACTAGCTGAAAATGGATCTGGACATGAGTTTGAGGATGAGAGTCTTTTCAGCTCAGAGTTAGGAGCCCAAAAGATTCAATCTAATCATGTAGCTGAATTTGGATCCATGTCTGGTGGTTTTCAAGCAAGTGGTACCAAGATGTGGAAAAGTGGTGTCTATAGGAGCATAAAGACTGTAGTTTTTTCAAATAAACTAAATTTGCTCATGCCCTTTGGGCCTCTTGCAATCCTCGTCCACATGTTAAGTGGCCACAATGTGAGTTATATTTTTCTATATTCTGTTTTGCATTATCAAATGCCTTGCTTAATAATACAATTCATTAATATGTTGTCAATCACAGGGATGGGTCTTCTTCCTGAGTTTGCTGGGTATAACACCTTTGGCTGAGCGCTTAGGTTATGCTACAGAGTAAGGATTCCTTCTTCTTTCTCTTAATTATCAAGTGATACTCAGTTTTTTAGCAGCTAATATCGCTTGTTCAATGCTCTGATACAGGCAACTGGCTTTTTTCACAGGGCCAACAGGTATAGAATTTTATCTTGATCTGTTGTTTATTTGCAATGTTCGCTTGCATCTGCAAATATTTTCATTAATTGATTTTGTTCTTGTGCATCTTTGAAACGTTGAAATGGTATTTGCAGTTGGTGGTCTTCTCAATGCCACATTTGGAAATGCAACAGAAATGATTATTGCTATTTATGCACTGAAAAGTCAAATGATACGTGTTGTTCAGTTGTCTTTATTGGGCTCTATTTTGTCAAACATGTTGCTTGTGCTCGGTTGTGCATTCTTTTGCGGTGGGCTTGTATGTCACCAGAAGGAACAGGTCTTTAACAAGGTATATGCTAGAACTTTTTATCTTTAGTGTTTTCTTTAATCAATGTTTTTCTGGCTCTTTATCTTGCCTCTTTCTTCCATGGCTGAAATAAGTAGATATGCAGGCAACTGCTATTGTAAATTCGGGATTGCTGTTGATGGCTGTTATGGGACTGTTGTTCCCTGCTGTCTTGCATTATACACACACAGAGGTGCATTATGGAAAGTCGGAGTTGGCTCTTTCAAGGTTTAGCAGTTGTGTTATGCTTGTGGTGTATACTGCGTATCTTTTTTTCCAGTTAAGGAATGACAAGTATAGATATGAACCTCTTGAAGAGGTTGGTTATTTTTACTGGTATTGTTTCTGTTTGTGCTTTACTCTGTGGCATGCGGTTGATGTGGTATATTTTGTATACTCAGGAAGTGAGTCAACATGGGGAGAGCACTGATGGTGATGATGGTGAAACTCCAGAGATCACCAAATGGGAATCAATAATTTGGCTTGCAATAATGACAGCTTGGATTTCTATTCTATCAGAATATTTAGTTGATGCCATAGAGGTAATTTTCTGACTGTTGCATGCCGGCCTTTCTCAGATTTGATCAAATCAATGCCTAGACGCTTTTTAATGAATCTTTTGGTTATTACTTGATTTCTCAAGGGCATCCTTCTTTTAACCTTTTCTCATATATCTACAAGCTAGAGATCTTGCTATAAATTTGTAGAAACTTTATGTCATATTTAAGTAAAATGCTGATTGGATCTCCATTAATTTCTCATATGGTTTGGCATGAGCTGGTCTCCATTATGGGGCAACATGGTGAGATGGTTTTAGGTAGATAGCTATCTTAGGCTTCTTCAACCTAATGTAGACATATATAAGATGGCTTAGATTGGATTAGCATCATCCACTCAGTCAGCGGCATATATTTCTCTCCTCCCAGATAAAGATTTCCCACTTTTTCATTGCCCTTTTTTTTTTTTTTGGTCATTCTTTGGGGGTTACAATTTTCTAAGATTGAAATGTATTTTCCAAGAGAATCTATTTTAAGATTTCATAATTAGATTGCAGTAGAATTAGAGTTTTACTTGTGTTATTTCAGTGTCTTTCTAAGCCTTTTTGGTGGGTGATTGTTTTGTAGGGTGCATCTCAGGCATGGAATATACCAATTGCATTTATTGGTGTTATCTTGCTTCCAATTGTTGGAAATGCTGCAGAGCATGCAAGTGCTATCATGTTTGCCATGAAAGACAAGCTTGTAGGAATTATTTTTCCCTTTTAATTTCTTCCACTTTTATGCTTCCCAATGTTGTTTTATGATTCATAGTTTCTGTGCAGGATATATCACTAGGAGTGGCAATAGGGTCATCAACACAGATATCTATGTTTGCAGTAAGTGTTAAACAGTATACAGTTGTAGATAGGTATTTAAATTTTTGGTCTTTAAGGGTGACTTTCTGCTTCTTACATAAAGGAATTCTTCCTGGACTTGATTGCATCAGCACTCGCTATGCATCACCTAATAAATAGTTTTGCATTTCTAAATATGTCCTCTAGGAAGTCATTTACCTGGTATCCCTCATGACAAGTCCCGGATTGGGTAATCATTTTTAAGTCTGAATTACTGTTTAACCCTGCATTGCTGTTAAGATTAGCTAAAATTTTCACGATGAAGGACAGCTTGGGAAATCTTGAACTTTTAGGATGTTAGGCTAGGATTTATTGAAATCAAGGATTGGAACTCAAATATCAGTATGGAAAAAATTTTTAGAAAATAAAAAAAAAATTAAGCAAACAAAAATAAACTTCTAGCATCACACTAGTAGGATCTAGGACTCACTTCTATCAAGAAAGTACACTTTCTAGTTTCTGGGGTTAGAATTGCATCAAACAACTCAAAGATAAAGCAGTAATTTTATTGACTGAGAACTTGATTAAAAGCATTACAAGCATGGATATTTGTAGATCCAAACTACTTCAAACCTAGGACTTCAAAACTAGATCTCATCCTTCAAGGATTTAGACTCCCAAAATAAACTAATAAGTATTACTATTATCCTAAACCACCAAGGATTCTAAAATGACTTAAAAATAAATATAAATATTAGAAATGTACAAAATTCCAGGAAAACTGAAAGTACAGACTGCCCCTTAGTCTTAAAAAGTTATTGTTTAGCAACTTATGTATTAAAATAGACATATGAATGAAACTGTAAAAGGACTAGAAATATGCTATAATATCTAGGATAAATCCTAGACAAATTCTAGATCATGATTCTAGACTTCTTGAGCCTTTGAATTTGAATTTTCTTAATGAATAATGGGTATTACCATTATAAAATTTATTTAACATCAATGGAATGCCAATAATTCTGTGATTCATTTCTGCTGGCATCTTATCGCCTGTTGCCGATAGTGATTTATAAAGTGATGAATTTTGCTATTCACACTTGGTAGTCTTTAGAAATCTAACATTCTTTGCTCACCTGAAGAAAATAAAGATGAGAAAGATGAAAATTGGAAAGAGGAAAGTTAGCCTATTTATGTGAATTATGTCAGCCTGAGATTTTGGAGGTTCCACTGCTTCACAGTATTGATCTGTAACTTCTCCCAATCACCTACCTTCCTCAACTTCTCCCAATGAAGAAGAAAATGACCTTGAAAGTGTCACACCTTGCGGGGTGTGCTTATATATTGAAGAGAAGAACTAGTGATGGTTTATATCATCATCATGGAAAGATGTAATCCGATATTTACAATTCTATATTTCATGGCTAATATTGATTTAATTAATATACTGGTAGTTATCTCTTGCATCAGATAATGTCTTCCTTATGGCATATTGTCTTCTTAAAATCTTTGGTATTGCTGTTACTGCAGATTCCCTTTTGTGTTGTCGTTGGTTGGATGATGGGGCAGCCTATGGACTTGAACTTCCAACTTTTTGAAACAGCAACACTTTTCATAACTGTTATAGTTGTAGCCTTCTTTCTGCAGGTTTGTATTCGAAAATCTTGTACTAGGCCATTTATCAAAGTTGAGGATGCTATCTTTTAACCATTAAGGAAAAATACAAAGAAAGTGTCTGATATACAGTAAACACAATGGCTGTGTATGTTATTGAATTGATGATCAATGGAATTATCAGTGAAAATAAAATAAAAACTCAAAAAAAGAAAATAATCCCAAGAACCAAAACAACAACTTGAGCTCAAATAGAGACATAACTCTTCCCAAAGGAGAGTTATCTGAGACTTCACACCCTCTCTATCCTTCTCAATCAACTCCTATTGACATCCATATCCCATCAGATACATTAATTCCATTAGGTAACTCTAATTCCACCTTAAAGCTAATCTCTTATTTTACGTAGGACTCTTTCAGGTATTTAAATGCTTCATGCTTATTACTAAGGTTTTTTTGGTGGTAAGCTCTCCAAACTCTTGGTGTGACATCTTTATCAGTATACTTTGAGACTATGAATGTAGCCAGGAGGCGTAATTTATTGTGGAATCTCACGCTTCTTTGCTTGGATCAGTCAGCAAGTCACCCTATAACTAGTCTTATAACTGGCTGTATAATTGTTTTGCATATTTTTATGTCCTCACTCAATGAAGCCTCTTTTTGTTATTTTTGTTTTTATGTTTGCAGGAAGGAACCTCTAATTACTTCAAAGGACTAATGCTCATTCTTTGTTATGTAATTGTTGCTGCAAGTTTCTTTGTGCATGAGGATCCGAGTTCAAAAGGTTAACTCTTATATTCCTCGTTCTTTTTCCATTTGGGAATTAAACTAGATTTTTCCATAATTTTATTTCAGTTTAATAATTATTAATATTGCATGAATGCATAGATCTTGCACCAATTGCTATTAAATATCAGTATGGATCTGATTCTGCAGATGAAAAGAAGTTAAAACCATAGTCTGGAAGCTAATTTTATCATCAAAATTTGGTCTATCACGTTGGGGTGTACATATATCCAATTTGAAATTCCAGTTTTCTGGCTTAGGCCAGTACTTGTTCAGCTAATGCTATTGAACAGGTAGCTTACCCATTTTTTGTTCTTTTTTTTTTTTTTTTTTTTTTTTTTAAACTAGATTTTCATAATTTGTATTTCAGTTTAATCAATTATTAAATATTGCATGCAACTGACTAGACTGCACCCAATTGCTATTAAATATCAGTATGGATCTGATTCTGCAGATTGAAAAGAAGTTAAAACTCATAGTCTGGAAGCTAATTTTATCATCAAATTTGGTCTATCACGTTGGGGCTGTACATATATCCCTCTCGCACCCACTCTCACTCTCTCTCCTGGCTCTAGCGCCAGTACTGTTCAGCTTGCTACTTGACACACGCTCAGCTACACTCTTCTCTTTTTCTTTCTTTTTCTTTTTTTTTCTCTTTTCCGACAGTAAATGTTCCTGACTGTAGAACAATTCTTTCAAGTGACGCACTTTTTTTTTCTTTTTTTTTTTCCTCTTTTTTAAATAATAATAATAAAGATATAAAAGAATATAATATTTTTTTTTTTTTTTTTTTTTTTTTTTTTTTTTTTTGTTGCGTTAACTTTTGTACTGTTACGACTTTTTGAGTATCTTTGCATTTGTCTATTGCGGCAGTGGAATTTAATGATATTGGTTGGTTTTAGCTTCTTGGACTATCATATATAGCACGTTCAGGAATTATTCTATCGTCTTGAAACCCCATATTACGAGTGCATCACTAACCAAAGGGGCTTTCCTTTTAGCAATGTCTGTTTAATGAGATGCTAGTTAAATATTTTTTAGCTAAAAGAAAGGAAAAAAAAAGAGCTAAAGTACATATTAAAAAATTAGTGCATTTTTTCCTCTCTTTTGGTGGATTTGGCACTCAATTATGAAACTTTAGTAGTTTGGCAATTTTTTTTTTTTTAATTTTTTTCTGAACTAGCAATTTGGCAACTTTGCTGAGGAGACAGATTAAGAGAATTGGATGAAACAGAGAAGGAATTTCTATTCTTTTTTTTTTTTATTTCATAAACACATCATAAGTACTAAAGTTATTGGTTATTTTATTAATCAGGACCTATACAAATTTTACTAATGTATATATATGGGGTGAGGTACTTAATTGAACCCAATACAAATTATTACTTTCTCTTCTTCCTAGAGTTCTCCTTTTCAAATTCCTAAAGCTTCTCCCTCTTTCAAATTCAATATAAGAATAAAAATTTCCACTTCATTTCATTCCTTATGCTTGCATTTTCATTTCATTTACTTCTATATTATCAAATATAGTGAATTTTGTATTCCATCAGCCACTTTATTCTTCTGCTCAAAATGATGCCAATTCAGCATTATTTTTCAGCTACAACGCCTGTCAAGCCTTTTTTTTTTTTTTTTTTTTTTTTTTTTATTTTTTTTTTTGTTTTTTTTTTTTTTTTTTTTTTTTTGCGAAGAAAGAATAGCAAAACCCAGAAATTAATGATTCCTAATGACAAATGAACATTTCATTGGACTACTTCAACCTCTCTTTAGTTTTTTTTTTTTATTTTTTTATTTTTGGGTTGGAATTTACTGTGCCTTCTAACCAAACTAGTGACAAACTAACTAGAGGTTGGAAGAATGAGCATTGGTTAAATTACAGATTCTATTGTTGTTTTAACTTAATCAAAATACTACCTCTATTTATAGTATTCGTTGGGAAATATTTGATGAATCGCTAGTTAAAGGAACCTCTGCTAGAACAGTCAATTTTACCAAAAAAAAAAATCCCAAATTGGTTAACAAATTAATTTCTACCCTCAAATTTTTCTACATAGCTAATTATACCCAAAATAACTACAAAAATATTGTGATTTAAGGACTAATTTAGATCAATTTTTAATAAACTCGTCGAAATTCAAAGGCTAAAAGTTAATACATAACAAATTCAAAAGCTAATTTGATCTTCCAAATTTTAATTATTAATAGTGATATAAGAAAATAATTATTCAGTCAATTTTGACCTGGAATATTATTGACATTAATTTTTGAAATAAGAATACATTCTACTGGTAAAAAAAAAAAAAAAAAAAAAAAAAATATTTTTTTAAAAAAAAAAAAAAAAAAAAAAAAAAAACAAATTTTGAAAATGAGCAACTTCAGAACTATTGGCCGACCCTGGAACTGGGTAGAGCTAAAATTAATCTGATTGTGCAAAGGGAATCCAATATATAAATGTTTGAAAGAGGCATGGCAATTGCCTAGGGGAACAAAATGCCAACCCAATCTTTGTTATACCTTAAAACTACCTTTTCATACCCCCATTGTCTTCCCCTCCTTTGCTCTCTTCAACTCTCTCTCTAATTGTTCCGTAAACTCAATTGATAAGTTTTGAAGCTGAAATCTATTGACCCCCACTTTTTACCTCAGCTTCAAGTCGAGAGCTCTCAGTTTTAAAGAATTCCAGCTCCTGAAGAAGTTTGGTCAGCTTTTCAATGTTTTCCTCCTGAATATGAGATGGTACTTTTTCTTTGTAGCCATTTGCATTTACTATCTTATCCAATTTGTCCCATTGCCTGAAGAAAATTCATAACAAAAAATAAGTAAACAGCGATTTAAATGTAAAATGAAAAAAAAAAAAAAAAAAGTTACAAAACCATCGCATAGATGCTGTTAGCCTTGAGAAATAGAGGGAAAAACAGATTACAAGATGGTTAAAAGACAAATCAAATAAACTCAGTACCGTATGAATGTTACTAAATGAATATTTAATTGATATTTAAAAACTAAATAAATGTTTCTTCAAATAGTTGCGCAGATACTACACCAGTAAGGTTTCCATAAAAAGGGAAAAGAATAAATAGGTAAGTGTGCATTGAGGGGTTTACTGATGTTAAAGGGAGAGGGGAACATGATTCAAGCAAGCGAAATAATATGATTTGGCCTCCATTTTCTAATTAATACTAAAATTTCAAATGATGGACAGAAATATGCATTGCTCATGGCAATCAATAGGGGCTTCCAGTGCACACATATTAAAGCATGTGTAGATATATACATACAATACAAAAACATATGTGCTCTTATCTCATGAGACACATAATCAAAAACATGAATAATAGATTTGATTAATTTATAAGCCACACCAAACACCCTCTAAATTTTAACTGAGAAGCCAGACTTACTTTTTTATGTCATCCATTTTATTTCTGATCTTTTCAAGCTCTCCTTCTGCATCAACTTTTCCTTGAACCTCGAGATAAACTTTAAGGTTCTCATTGACATTCTCAAATGCACATCCAACTGGAGGAGCATCATTCCCACTCAATAATACCTGAAGAAAATTTTAATTTGGAACTGTTTAATTCTAGTAGAATGAAGGACATGCGGCATTAATAGCAAATTGAGGTTACTAATAATTATTGTATTAATAGTATAGTTCATTTGAATATCTCGACTATAGCATCCTTGAACATTGAGATAGACTTTAAACTATGATTTCAGGTCTACTCTCAAAGATGTTCCGAACCAGCGCCGGACCAGACCAAATACACCATATAATCTTATCTAGCTCATGAATTCATTTTACATTTCACAAAAGAAAAAGACCCAAGTTATGAGATGTGATTTCTATACTTCCCCGATTAAGAAAACTAATACACTAATTGCAAAGGAGAAATACAATGCCACAATCACATAAAGGACCTAGAACCAAAAAATTTAATGCCATACCTTTAAAGATGATATAGTCGCAAGAGTTAAAATCTCCAATTTCCGGCTATTAATAATTTCTGCTACTGCATCACCCTGGCAAAATGCAAAAGCTGGTAGTCTGGAAATAAGAAAAAAAAAAAAAAAAGAAAAGAGACCAAATGTTAATCATTTCAAAGATATTTAAAATCAGTATGACAATTTTTGGAATAGCCTTCTTCCACGTAATAAACGTTCTGAAGTGCCACTTCAAAGCAACCAAATTGTTCCATATTTCTTAGGGGGTAATCATAAAAATCTAGTACCAATGTTTTATGGCTTCGCATTACTTCAGCTAAAGTTAAACATGATTCTGAATTTCCCTAGTTTTACTTCAATATCATGCAATGTAACTACACATCTGACATATAGGAAGGAAAAGACTAGTCCTTATACATGCATGCACATGCAAACAAGCAATTTGATAACTAGAAAACAACAATGAAAGGGAAAGATAGCTGCTTGCCAAAGAAAAGGCCCTTCCATAATTACCTTTCATTCTTTTGCTTGCCAAGCACCTCAGCTCTCAGAGACCTTATACACTTCACAGTAGACTCAACAAGATCCATTTCATATTCCACCCTTTCATTTGTCCAGGCCTATAGAAGAAGCGGGTGTATCATTAACCACATAAAACTGTCTTGGTGTCAGTCTAACCTTCTACCATCATCAATAACATTTAAAAATACTAATGACAACCAAAATATTTGGCAAAAATGAGTCTTTTGTCAGTAAAAGATCACAATTATTTGATGTTCCTATTAAAAACACATTTAAACCATTACAACCCAAGATGCTCTCCTATAATTATGAGACTAGAACTTACTTCCACAGTTGATGGGTATTCAGATATCATAATTGACTCATTTCTTGTATGGCCCCCTGCTGAAGGCAGTCGCTGCCACAATTCCTCCGTCACAAAAGGCATAAATGGGTGAAGCAATCGCAGGCCATTGTCCAAACACACCCAAAGAGTGTCTTGTGCAGAGTTCTTCGCAGAGGCAAATGCTGGATCATCTCCAGTGAAGTAAGGCTTGATTGTTTCAATGAAAACATCACAAAACTGATATTGCCACCATGAATACACTGAGGTGGCAGCATCCGAAAACTCATACGAATTCATTGCCGAAATAGTTTTGGATATCGCTTTGTTAAGTACTGAAAGTATCCACTTGCAGCTAAAAGGCAAAGAATCCACAACCAAACTCGAAGGAGGGACATAATTTTTTTCAAGTTTGCTCATGGCAAATCGAACAGCATTCCACAATTTGTTACACCATTGACGATACCCAACAACTCTTTGAATGTCCAAATTAATTTTATCAGACTGAAAGTAGAGGCAATAAAACGTTATAAATAAGATGATATACAAGCATAATAAAGGTGATGAGCAATAAACAGTTCACAAATCAATTAAAAGAAGGATGAACCTGAGCTGTATAAGAAACAAGAGCAAACCGGAGAGCATCTGCACCACATTCAGCTATACCATTAGGGAAGTCCTTCTTCTGTCCAGCTTTCGCTACAACCAACTCATTTGGATCCAAGTTACCCTCCTCTAGTCGTTTGTGAAGACCTTCAAGAGTTATCCCATTTATTACTTCCAGAGGATCGATGACATTTCCCAATGACTTTGACATCTTACGGCCATGCGCATCCCGAATCATAGGGTGCAGATAAACCTGAATGAAAACAAACAACCACAATATTATCAAACAATAACCACTGAAAGGTTTGATTGCAGTTTTAGGAACAGAATTCATCACCTTACTAAATGGCACATCACCTCCCAGTTTAATCCCTAACATAACCATCCGGGCAACCCAGAAAAATAGAATGTCATGCCCAGTTTCAAGTACCGATGTCGGGTAAAATGCTTTAAAATCATCAGTATCATCTGGCCAACCCAATACAGACAATGGAAACAGACCAGAAGAAAACCAAGTGTCAAGGACATCAGGATCTTGGCCCATCTCAAATTTGTTTCCAGCAAATTCCTTACTAGCCCTAGCAAAAGCTTCCTTCTCATCTCTAGCAACCACCCAATGATCATTGTAGGTACCAAATTCCTTCGATTTGTCATCCTCAAGCGTAATATACCATGCAGGAATGCGGTGACCCCACCAAAGCTGCCTTGATATGCACCAATCACGTATATTCTCAAGCCACCTACGATTTTTTACAGCCACATGAATGCCAAAACATTCAGGCAATTAAGGAAACAATTACATAATAAAGAACAAACCACTTGCAAGAAAAAATTCCCCAGATAGCTAAATTCGAGTAAATAAAAATCAATACAAAAATACAGCTAACAAGATAATCTGCTCAATTATGCATTTCTTCAGCACAAAGGTTTTGGCATAGGGCACTGAAACAAACAAAAGCAATCACAAAACAAGTTTAAGAACTAGACCACAACCTTACAAACTCTGTTGAGAATTGACACTACCCCTCTAGAATATTATTCTTTTGCTGATCTTATCATTATTCTAATAATCTCAACAGACACAGCCATTCCTGAAGTTTCTGTTCAGTCTTTGGCCATCGACTCAAGAAAGCCATAGGTCTTGGGCCGTTTCAAAGCATATTTAACACACACCAAAGATAGTGCACAGAGGAAGTGGGTAAAGCATCATTAGGTCTACTTGTAGAATTTAGACCCTGGTCTAGGAGTAGTATGAATGAAGTCCTATACCAAGAGTATCATTTGGATTTCAATTTGCGCAGGTTTCATAAGTGTGATTGGTCTGAATACTGTTTGGCATAGAGTTAATGCACAATACTTGGCACTATGATGTGCACATAAGGTATTAATGAATTTCATACAGTTAAATTTATAGTTCAAAAAAATTAAAATTCAGGGTCAATTAAGAAATGCGCAAAGCGGAATGGAGACCAAGGATTCATACAGCTGACCCTAACTAGTTTGGGTCTAAAGCTTAGTTGTTGATGTTGTTAAAAGATGCACAGCAATAATACTAAAAGCAGTTCGGCATGCATGTGAGGTGTCTTCTGGTTAATTGTCTACTATGATATTCATAGCACAGCAAACTTAGTTCTTGCATTCCACCCTGTAACTCAACATGCTCATACTATTGTCATTTTAACCAATATGCAGCTGAAGAAACAAGAGAACCTTTTCCAATCGGCCAAATATTGTTTAGGAAAGAATTCAAGCTTTAAATTTTCATTATCAGTTGCTGCATCAAGAGCCTGCTTTGCCATACTACTGCAGTTAACAAACCATTGGGGCTTTATCATTGGCTCCACAACATCATTACTTCTTGAACAACGCCCAAGTCGCATTTCATTGTTTTTAGCACCTCTATATAATCCCTACATGTAAGAAAATATAGGTGAAACAGTGGCTTGCATAATGCCAAATCCAAAATACATACATGTATTTTTGAAAAATAAAATTAACAAAGAGAATGGAGAGATGTTCGAAGCAAAATGCACTATTTAAGTTCTATTGATTGGACAACCAGCAAGATACTGATTGCTGGAGGAGGAGAATGTGCATGTGTATATATATTTGCATGCATATGTCATTGTGTGCAGTTGTTGATAAAGTCCTACCTTAGTTTAGTTTGAAGTTTGAACACAATTGCTGATAATTTAAGCACACACCCACACACACGCACAATGCACTAGTACCTTGTTCTGTAATGCTTCTGTCACTGCTTCACGGGCCTTGAAACGTGGCATCCCAGTGAATTCTGAGCCACCATTGCTATTAATCTTACCATCATCAGTAAATATATTGATAGATTCAAGTTTATGACGTCTTCCAACCTCGAAATCATTTGGGTCATGTGCTGGAGTGATCTGCAAAAGAAGGAAGGATTATTAGAATATTGACAAACCAAAAGGAGATCTAGGACAATTTTAGCATTCCATGCACAGAAGCAAAGTCTTACCTTGACAGCACCAGTACCAAAATTGGGATCAACAAGAACAGCATCACAAATTATTGGGAGTTTTCTTCCATTAAATGGGTGAATTGCAAATTTGCCATGTAGATGACTGTACCTTTGATCATCAGGATGTATGGCAATAGCAGTATCGCCAAGCATTGTTTCCACCCTAGTAGTGGCAACAACAATTTCTCCTAAGCCTCCTTCCAGAGGATAAGCGAATGATGTTAAAACACCAAATTCCACTGGCTTATCATAACCAGGGACCTTCAACAGTGTCTTCTCTCTGATGTCAGTATAATCTACCTGCAAACAAAAAGGTACATTCCAGATATAAGTAGAAGACAATCCAACAAATATACAAATTAAAGAAACAGTTTACCTCAATATCAGATATGGCAGTTCGTAAGGTGCAATCCCAATTCACTAACCGATAATCCCTGCACAAGATATTATTAAAACCTACATAGGGGATATTCCCGTCAAAAGGAAAGAATATAAGTAGTAGAGTTTCTCGACAAGATAAACAATAGGATGAAGGGGCATTTCTCTAACAGCTAAAGCTTGAAAATTTCTTTACATTGTTCATTAATTTAAGAATTGTCAGTATGTTTATCTGCTTGCCAGTACCAGGTATGTCAATTGAATAGTCAGATATTACAAAAATTGACATGAAAAACTAAATTGGTAACTAAGAGTTTAATGAAGATTTAAAATTCAAACAGAGTGCTAATAAATGAAAAGGATACCAATTGTTAAGTATATCCAACCTAATCATAACAACTGGACCAAAGCCATGCAGGTACAAAAAAAAAAAAAAAAAAAAAAAAAAAAAAAAAAAAATCAATTGTTTTTAACACTCCTGTTTTTATCAATCAAATATATGAACTTCTAAGTTCGTTTTTAACCTCCAATCATAATGTGCAAAATAAACGACCAAAGCTATTAAATCATCTGGAATTTTAGTTTTTTAAAACACAATTGACAAACATGGCTTTCACTTACATAATGAAGAGCAGATAATAGAATTCTATCATCTTTTCAACTTGCAACTTGATGTTTGGTTAAAAACTTAACTTGTTGCTTCAATGGTTTGAAGAAATAAAATCCATCCCCAACCACTTCACATTATGTGAGCAAAAATTATATTTCTTCATTTTGGTTTGGAAATTACAAAATTGCACTCGATTAAATTGTGGTCTGATCCCTAATTTCATTGGCATGAGTCCAAAGTTGAACAATCTTAAAAGGTCATGTGTTTATAATTATTAAAAATAAGAATAAGCTACAAAGATAATTAGGTTTTTTTTAGAAATTAAGCCTATTAAAATTCTACCTATATGAATTTGCTTTGCCAGGTGTTACATAATGAAGTTGGCACATACTTCTTTTCACAGTATGGATGGATGTCACACACTATCCCCTGTTTTGGCCCATCGGGATGGATAGAGATAGGCAAAAAGGAAATTTTCGACGTTTGTGGGTCACTCGATAAATGCAGCAATTCGTCAAGCATACCTATAAATGAGATGATCCTCATATAGCCGAACAAATTCCTCTATCACAGCCTTCGATCTTTTTTCATCCATTGTAAAACACTGGAAAGAAGAAGTTAACATTGGCAAAGAACATCAATAACTTACAAGTCCGAACAAGAACACAGGACCGAAAACATCAATAACTAAGTTGACTAAGATTGATAGACATCAAATTATTAAACTTAGACGGTTACCTCACGAGACCAATCAAGAGAAGCACCCAAACGGCGCAGCTGTCCCAGGATGGTACCCCCATACTCCTCCTTCCACTTCCAGACCTTTTAGTAAGAACATTACAGAAGATTAAAAAAGGGTTGAGTGTCATGGTCATGGAAAAATAAACAAAAGAGAAGAAACTGTTAATAAGCTTAAAATGGGTTCAAACAAATTAAACTAACCTCAGATACAAATTTCTCACGACCAATATCATGTCTGGTTAAGTGGCGTTCACGCATTAACTTCTTCTCCACAACCACCTGCAAATGGATTCAATTGTCAACTGCTCCTATCAAAATTAGGATTGACTGCAGATTCAAGCCATAACACATGGTTTCATAAGAAAATTTGCCATCTCTTTTGTATCTACGACTACAACCACCAATATAAAAATCCTAGCAAGCTCATGTAATATGAAAATGCACATGCATCCAAATCTAAAGGCCAGGTGTATAAAGATGGAAACTAAATAGGGCCAATGAGACAGGATGGAAAATAATCTTATTCTCCACTCTGTTGTGGGCCGAAGAGATCAGCCAAGTAAAAAACTGCTAAAATTCATATGATACTGTCAAGTGCTAGATGAGAATAGAACCAAAGTATACATAACAGATAACTCCATGTCGAGTTAAACAAGAAGAAAAATAGGCATTACCATCACAAAGCACCATGTTACTATGTCTGATGCAAAGACGAATATGCTCCAAGGTTGAACTGAGCATATTTCAGTTAAACCGACCGAACTGAACTGTTTTGTTGGTTTGATTTCAATTTTCATACCAAAAAAAAAAAAAAAAAAAAAAAAAAAAAATTCGGTTCCGTTTGATTTCATGAAGCGAAAAACATCGAACATAGTTAAAAACTGACAGAACCGAATTGGTTTGGTCTGGTTGTTATTTCATAAAACTTCAGTTTGTTCGATTTGAACCAAAACAAATAGATGCCAACCCCATTGTTCAGGGGTACAGGAAGTATGGCCAAATCGACAATGCACTAGATCATGATCAAGGGAAGCTAACCTGTGTTGCTATTCCAGCGTGATCTACACCAGGTACCCACAATGTATTATATCCAGACATTCTCCGCCAACGAATAATCGTATCCTGGTTATAATAAAAGTTTATAGGTTCATATCATACACCATAAGATTGTAAGAGGAACAAAGAAGCAGGAAGGAAAATGTTGCTGCACCTCTACAGCAGCTGTAAGGGCATGGCCTATATGTAGGGCCCCAGTCACATTTGGAGGGGGAAGAACCTGCAGAATAATATCCGGTTATTAGACAAATAATAAGAACAGTAAAAAAGGTGAAAGCTACTGCTACAATAAGTCCAAAATTTCAATATAAATCATAAAAGAATTGAAGGTACCAGGCAAAGAATTTGGAGCAAGAACTAATTTCATAAGGAGGCAAAACAAAGCAGGTATTCACTTATTTGCAGTCCAAATGAAAAGAAAAGCAGATGAGTCTGTTTTCTGCACATATCAGTTATACATTTCCAGTTGGATTGTGTTGAAAGTTTTAATTTCTTATAACCTGGAACTTTCATGCAATGAATTCAGTTTTTGTTTTTTTTTTTTTTTTTTTTTCTCAATAAATGCACAAAATAACATGTTTTTGTAGTAATTATTTACATGCATAAAATAGATAGAACATATAAAACTCATCATCAGGATTGAACAGTCAGCAAGCACATGATAAAACCACTTACAAAATCCGTTGATGAAATATAAAAGGTTAATGTGATGTTCTTGTTATGCTGTCCAATATGACTTTATTGAATAATGGATCTTAAAGCACATGGAATAAGTCCAACACATATCATTACAAAGAAAACATCACCATATTAACTGAAAATTGAATGCAGCATCAACTTTTTATGATATCAAAGCTATATATAACACTTAATTTCAAAGTAGGCCAAGAAACTTACTATGGTAAATGGTGGTTTGGAGCTTTTTGCATCAGCTGTAAAATAACCAGATTTTTCCCACCATGCATACCATCTAAACAATTAATAGACACAAAAGAATAAATAATTTGACTCTGAACTAATAATAATAATAATAATAATAATATTATTATTATTATTATTATTATTGAAGAAGTGAAATTCATGTAACATACGATCCCTCTACAGCCGTTGGATTGTATTGTTTTGCCATTTGAGCAGAAAGCTTCTTCTTCTCACCAAATGGAGTCTCAGGGTCAACATAATCCTCTGGATTCTCTTCACCTCCAACCTCTCGCCTGGCACTCTTTTTAGCAGCACCCTTTTTTGAAGCATTACTCGATTCTTGTTGTGCCTGTAGGCGATAAAATCAGAGTGAAATTTATCCAAGTCCTTAATAACTAACAATTTACAACTATAACATGAACTTAAACGTCTCAAGTGTACCTTAAATTTAGCTGCTTTCTCGGCTGCCTTGAGTTTCTTCAGTTCCTTTTCCCTGGCCTACATATATACAGTGAATTGTACACACACAGAGAAGAGAATGTTATCCAAATCAGACCTGTAGAGAATTGCATATATTGGAAGAAAGATGGAAGAAACAGGAAACCTTTTCCTCTTTCTTCTTCTTACGCTCCAGATCCTCCTGGGTTTCGACCTTCTTATCTGCTTCTGACTGTGAAAATAGAAAATCAATGAACTAATTTGATTCTCTCTCACAAAAATATTAGCTAAACAGATTCACATACCATATTCTTTGCTTTGAAAATTTGATGAAGATGAATGCGTGGATTGAACGCCAATCACAGGGGGCGCAAAACAAACTTATAGGGTTAGAATTGTGCAATATTTAGGAAATTTTCAAACTTTAAATGCTGGTTTTGAAATCGACAATACTAGCAATGGAGAGTGGAGCTTAGATATCTCGTTTCTTCTCCGTTTATACAAATTTCTCTAATAGCTTATGGAAGAACGGGGGAAACAGGGGTGCTGTGGCAACCGAAGAATGCTTGACCAGAGCTTTGCCGGAAAAGTTTATGGATTATCCCTCTCCTCCCTTCCTGCAGCTAAACCCCGGAGTGCGGCTAAAATGTAAATGATATAGTGATTAAAACCCTAGCAAAATGGACGGTTCCGATTTCAGAGAATCAGAGAATTTAGAAAAGAATAACTTCCTATCGGTATTAGTTAATCTCAAATGACGTCGTTTTGAGTTAAGAGTACGTGACTACGTCGTTTTGAATTAGCGTTTATATTTTATTGCTAAAACTCACCTTCGTTTTTTTTTTTTCATCTACCGCACTCTGCTTATTCGCTCACTGTCGTCTCTTTGCCTCTGCCGAGCTCAACCGACCGTGAAGCATAGGCCGTTCTCTCCTTCTCCTTCTAAGATTGTGGGCGGCGATCTCAACTTAGGTACCATGTTTTTCCTTCGTTTATTGAGTTCTCTTGTCACTCTATTATCCCTCTCACTCTCTCTATCTCTTCTTCGCTTACTAAACCACGCTCACCAACTTCAGCGACCTACTCCTCCGGAAAATTTCGATGCTCATTTTGTCTTTTATTCAATGAATTTCAAAATCTTCATTAAGAAGAAGACATTAAATAGATTTGCGGAGCTTTAAGTTTTTTCGGATTAATTGTTTAGTAAAAATTGAAAGATTTAAAGGAAATGTAGGAGCATGGATTGTTGACCTTGTTATGTGTGTTTTATTATTGTTTTTAATTGATAAGGAAAATATTTATGGTGTTCTATTCTTGATAGAATCTAATTGAAGCTTAAGTTTGAAATGGCAGTGTTCCTATTTTTCAAAGTAAAAGTCTAGGGTTTAGGTATGGTTTTCCATTAGGTTTGTATATTGGGTTTAGTGCGTGCTACTTGTGGCATGACATTTGACATTTTTTCTTTTAAATTTTGTATTCTTTGATCAAGTATTTGTTCCAATGCAAGTAATGATTTTCTGTTCTAATAGTTTTTCTTCAAGAGAGATTGAACCAATTACTGAATTTTATTGAGAAACAACTCAAAGAAGTATTGAAATTGTAAACTATCCACCATAAATTGTTTCTGAAATGGAAAATGATAATCGTTAGTTGGCATTTTTTTTTTCATTATTAATTATACATTGCTTCTTCCTCTTCTTTCTTTTCTTTTTGTGGGTGTGTATGTTCATCTGAGTATAGTTAGGCTCATGTTCTTTGCGCTTATTTCCTTGCCTATCTTATTTATCCATACTGTTAGGATTTACAGTGGTAGATGAGTGTTTTCTGCTTAACTTGGTTACCTATGCTTTATTGCATAACTCCACGGGGATTTTCTTAATAAAACATATTTTGCTGCAGGTTAAGCAGGTACTAGAATCAAATGTTTGCATCTATTCCATTTTATGAGAATTTTGAGAGTAATATTTTTAGGTAATGGAAATTGCATCTCGGTACTTTTTTTAACTTTTAGTTAAAGAGCCTGGATTATCCAGGAGTTTAATTGTTATGCCAATGGTTATATTCCTCGATTTCCCTATTTTATGATAAGATAGTTTGTGCTTAATCTGATTCCTAATTCCTTTTCTGTGCTTAATCTGATTCCTAATTCCTTTTCTGTATGATTTCAGGATGATTGGCTTGTAGAATTATAAGGTTCTCAATCACATACTCAAGGACATTTTACTTGCAATGCAATGGATTCACCTGATCATAGTCGGAATTATGTGAAAAGAGATACTGAGGATAGCTCAGATGTCAAGAGTGATAGGGCAGGGGATGATGAAGAATGGGAGGGCAGTGATAAAAGGAAGCATAGATCAAGCAAGTCTAGAAAGTCCAGCATTGGAGAAGATGCTGAAGCACAAGATGGCAGTGGAAGAAGAAGAAGTTCGGGGGACAGGAATGAGAATCGTAAAAGGTCAGGTGGGGGCTCTAGCAGAGCAGGTAGTGATGATGATGATTATGAAACAAGAAAAGACTTGCGCTCAAAGCAAATCAAGAAAAAACAAGAGGAAAGTAGCTTGGAAAAATTGAGCAGTTGGTATCAGGATGGAGAATTAGATAACAGGCAGGTTGGGGAAAAGTCTGGAAGTAAAGGGTACAGTAGGCCTGATGAAAGCGAGAGAAAGAAAATGACATCGAAGATCTCAGAACATGAGAGTTCTCGTAGTGGAAGCAAAAGTAAAGAAGAAAGGTCCCATGATGGAGAGCCTGAAAAGACACAAGACAGAGATTCTAAGTACTCAGATAGGAGAGAAAGTGGCCGGGAGAAGGCTCATGGTTCTACTGAGCTGGGAAGAACTTCTAGGAGGAGATGGGATGAATCAGCTATAGGAAAAAAAGCTGAAGAAAGTCATCATGAAAAGGCTGATCTCAGGAGCGGAAAGGGTTCTGATTCCAAATATGAGAATTCTAAAGACAGAAGTACATCTGCGAGGATTGAACCCAGTGAGGGTAAAAGCAGAGTTGTAGATTCAAACAATGAAAAGGGTGTCAAAGCCAACTATAGAGAAGAAAGAAGAGCTGATGGAGAGAGAAACAGGAGCAAAAGCAGATCAGAAGCTTTAGATGAGGATGATAAGGGCAGTCCTATTACTCGTGAAGACAGATCAGGTCGGGAGAAAAATGAGAAGCATAGACAGCAGAGAACTGCCACAAGTAGGGATGCTGTTGACAGCCGTGAAAGGTCTTCCAATGCAGATGAAGATGGAAACATTTGGGTAAGAGATAAAAATGCAAGAGAAGTTGCTCGCTCTAACAGGTCCAGGACCCCGGAGAGGAGTGCAAGGCGTCATCAAGAATCACAGTACTCTGAGATGGAGTATGAAAGAAGCTCAGACATTAGGAGGAAGGATATAGAAAAGGATGGCTATAGAGATGATAGGTCGAAGGGCAGGGATGACAGCTGGAGTGAGAGGAATAGAGATCGGGAAAGTTCAAAAGATAGTTGGAAAAGAAGGCAATCTAGTGGCAATGATAGAGAGTCAAAAGATGTAGACATTGTTTATGATCGTGGCAGAGATTGGGAACCAAGACACGGTCGTGATAGGAATGACAATGAAAGGCCTCATGGTCGAACTAGGGGTGAAGCAGTAAAAACATCATCAAATTTTGGAATATCAAATGAGAACTATGATGTGATAGAGATCCAAACAAAGCCTCTTGATTATGGACGAGCAGATTCTGGACCCAACTTTGCCAAGAGAACTGAGCTTGGGCAGCAATCTGAAGGAAAATCAGCACCAAATGCTGAAGAATGGGCTCATACACGAGATGAAAGGTCAAGGAGACATGATTTATATGGTTCTGCACCTTTTGCTGATGATACAAAGGAAAGGTATACTGATGATGTTGCGTCTATGCGAGATCCTAGTTCATGGAGGGATGAAATGGACTACCAGACAGGGAAAGGAAGAGGACCGAGAGGGGCAGTGTCTGGCCGGGGTGCTGGTGGCCAAAGTTCCAGTGGTGGTTCACAGCTGCCGTATGGAAACCAGGAACCAGGTTCCTTCTCCAGAGCTTCTCTGCAGGGAGTGAAAGGGAGTAGAGTAGGGAGGGGAGGAAGGGGTAGGCCCACAGTTAGAGACAACCAACCAGTCCAATTGCCCATCATGGGATCTCCTTTTGGGCCTATTGGAGTTCCACCACCTGGACCAATGCAGCCACTCGGCCCCAGTATGTCACCTGCTCCAGGTCCTCCAATTTCACCTAATGTCTTTATTCCACCATTTTCTCCACCAGTAGTTTGGCCTGGGGCACGAGGTGTAGATATAAATATGCTAGGCATGCCACCAGCGCTCTCTCCTGTTCCTCCTGGTCCATCAGCCCCAAGATTTCCTCCTAACATGGGTACTCCAGCAAACCCTGCTATGTTTTTCAATCAGGCAGGACCTGGGAGAGGAGTGCCTCCAAACATGTCTGGTCCTGGTTTTAATGCTGCAGGATCAGTCAGTCGAGGAACAGCACCAGATAAGGCCTCAGGGGGTTGGGTGCCTCCTAGAAATGGTGGACCTGCTGGTAAAGCTCCTTCAAGAGGAGAACAGAATGATTACTCACAGAATTTTGTAGATACTGGTATGCGACCCCAGAATTTTATCAGGGAGTTAGAACTTACCAATGTTGTAGAGGACTACCCCAAGCTTAGGGAGCTTATACAGAAAAAGGATGAGATTGTGGCTAAGTCTGCCTCTACCCCCATGTATTTGAAGAGTGACCTGCATGAGTTTGAGCTGTCCCCGGAGTTCTTTGGGACCAAGTTTGATGTGATTCTTGTGGACCCCCCTTGGGAAGAATATGTTCATCGAGCTCCGGGTGTTGCAGACCATATGGAGTATTGGACATTTGAAGAAATATTGAATCTCAAGATTGAGGTACTCTCTTTGCAAATTGCTTTTCCTTATTAGTGCCTTCTACTTGAAACAGAAAAGTTGCACTTTCCACATCCTTGCTTGAGCACAAGTAATTACACACTGTTACAATGCAATTGGAAATCTGAGTTATTTGCTTCGGAAATCCTTGCACCACCATACCCAGTGTGGTTGGTTTGAGCTGCATTATGTTTGTCTTATTAATTTAACATATATCTTCACTCTTTTTGCTTGGCTAAGCAGCATTTATTTTCTTTTCATTTTTGGCTACAGGCAATAGCAGATACACCATCTTTTATCTTCCTCTGGGTGGGCGATGGTGTGGGACTTGAGCAAGGTCGTCAATGTTTAAAGAAGGTACTTAACACTTAAGCCTTAGGAACCATAATGATCACAACCAACCTTCTCTTATATTCAACTCATCTAAGGTTTTGTGATTCATTTATGCATTGCATAATTTTGGTTAGTTCTTCATGCTTCAGTGGGGATTTAGAAGATGTGAGGATATTTGTTGGGTGAAGACCAATAAAACTAATGCAACTCCAGGGTTACGGCATGATTCTCATACTTTGTTTCAGCACTCAAAGGTTGGTAATGTGATAATTTTCCTGCATCAGTTATCTACTTCTTTCGCTATCTTTTTACCTTTCAGCACTCAAAGGTCGATAATATGATATTTTTCCTGCATGAGTTATCTACTTCTTTTGCTCCTTTTTTACTTATCTTCTGGATAGTGATTGCTTTGGTAATGCACTGCTTTTTGTCCTAAACTGTCATTATTAATGTAGGAACATTGCCTGATGGGTATAAAGGGAACTGTTCGTCGCAGCACTGATGGTCATATAATCCATGCTAATATTGATACTGATGTAATTATTGCTGAGGAACCTCCTTATGGTTAGTTACACCATTTACAACATTGAATTTGATGGCTATTTGAAGGGATTAGTCCGTTTAAGATTTGTTTGCTCTTCTTTTATATGTGAATAATGTAGATACAAGTTAAATTGTTGATTGCTTTCAGTTTCACTTTCATTCGTATGTTTTTTTTATAATGATTATAATAATATTTGTCACCAACACAATCCTTTATTTTTCACTTTTTACTTAAGTTTTTTAGAAAAAGCATTCCTGTGCTTGTGTAGGCGTATGATGTGATTTTCCTTGTTTCTTGTCACAAGTGAGGCTACGATGAAAAGAAGTTGAAACTTTCAGTAACTTTTAATCATTTTATGTTTATAATTATTTTAACTCCAATGTTTTCTAGCTTTATATGGTCTAATTCCTATGATGAAAAGAAGGAACCGTCATATTTCTTGGCATGAAGGAGCTGTTTTGATGAAGTTAGTTTTCCTGAACTGGAATTTATTGATCATATTGTAAATTGTCATCACAAGACTCAAAATACTTCCTGTGTGCTAAATTCTTCTATTTTTCCAAAATGGATAACTTAAGAGTACTTATTTTGACAGTTCTATGCCTATGAAATTGCAGGTTCAACTCAAAAGCCTGAAGATATGTATCGTATAATTGAGCATTTCTCCCTTGGCCGTAGAAGGCTTGAGCTTTTTGGTGAAGACCACAATATTAGATCTGGTTGGTTGACTGTTGGTAAAGGACTATCCTCATCAAATTTCAATGCTGAGGTAAAATATCTCTTAGAAACATCGTCACTTCTAATTGTTTTACGGCTTTGCGCCTTACCTAAATTTACTTTTGATTTCTGAATTGGCTACAATTTAGGGTACACCTTTTTGATTAAATTGAAAACTATATATTTAACATTTAAGCATGATGAATCTTTTAATTTTATTAGAATGTGGATGAAAGCGATGTCTTTTACTTGCCTGGAGTGTCAACTAAGCCTCGTGTAATAATAGAGCATTTATGCAAGCCTTAAAATATCGCTTCCATTAGTAACTATATCCTATTTGGATGTTAGTGACTGATTTGTTTGTGCCATCACCTAATCTTTTATTTTTAATGTGATCATGACATCATCATCTAAGTCCTAATAGAGAACTCTATTTCACATTTTGGAGTCAAGAAAGAAAGAAAAAAGTGAAATAGCTGTGCAGACTTTCAAGAAAAGTCCATCATGAAACAAGATATTACAATTTTCTCAGTCAGTAATGGCATTAGTAGGTGTATTATCAACTGGATTTATCTGGCACTTCTTTAAACCTGGAACGTCAAGCTGTTGGTTCACGCCAGTTTTTCCTGTTTCCTTCCGTTTTGCAAACTAATGTATTAACTAATGTTTGGTTAATGTCAGGCATACGTCAGGAATTTTGCTGATGAGGATGGGAAAGTTTGGCAAGGAGGTGGTGGAAGAAATCCTCCTCCAGAGGCACCACATCTTGTCATGACCACCCCGGAAATAGAGGCTTTACGGCCAAAGTCACCAATGAAGAACCAGCAGCAGCTGCAGCAACAACAATCAGCATCCATTTCTTTAACGACAGCCAATTCCTCCAACAGGAGGGCAGCCGGAAATTCTCCACAGAATCCAAGCACTTTCAGTTTAAACCAAGAGGCATCAGGCTCTAACCCTTCAACTCCAGCTACTTGGGCTTCGCCAATGGAGGGCTTTAGATGACAAGAAAGCCGGAATAGTCACAGCTTTGCCATTCAAGAGAAAGAGAGATAGTAACCTGTAATGCTTTCAACATTTTATGATTATAGTTGGTATTAATGTTACCTCATTTTAGATTTGACAGTACAGTGAGTTATTGGTAGTTGAAATTTTGACTTTTCAATACAATATTGTTTAGATTTGAAAGCAATTTTGTGTCCAAAAGGTGGGCTCAATTATTTTCTTTACTGGTATTTCGAACCAAGTCTGATATTAATATGTCAATTGAAGTTCTCAGGGTTAATGTGCACACACTTCAATTTACAATAAAAAAAATGCTTCATTTTTTATTTGCAACAATAAAATACCTCTAGCTGATTATCCTAAGTTCCATTCAGTGAATGCCACTTGGACTTCTTTATTTTCACAAAATTGACATAATAAAAAAAGAAATAAACGACAATTTGATCCCTGAACTTGTTTAGTATGATCAAAAATATTAGATTTGACCTTTTGCATCAAACCCTTGAATTTGTATATGATTTTAAAAAATCTGATTTTATTTTTTATACCGATTTAACCCCTTAACTTATTTAATATAATTAGAAAAATCAATCATGTTAAATTAAATTAATTATTAATTTATAAAAATTAAAACAAAGTTCAAAGGTTGAATTGACCTAAATAGTGAAATCAGATCTTAATTATTTTATAGAAATTCAAGAACTAAATTGACCTAAAAAGTCAAATCTGTCCTTTTTTAACCTTTATTCCTTAAAAAAAAAAAAATTCCTCTCTCTTTCCTCTCCCTTTCTCCAACCCAACCCCTCAATGCCACTCCTTAATCTCCTGACTTGCAAACTGGTCGCTAGTCTAATCCGAATTAGTCTGGTCTTTTTTTTATTTTCTGCAAACCAGACAGCTATAGTTTTAAACAAAAAAATTAAAAAAAATTTTTTGCTATACATACTAAATGAAGCGAGTGGCTGATGTATAAAGATACTTTTTTTTAAAAGTCATTAACTTCAATTTCCTTAAAAAGACTCGTAAATAAAAGATCTAAAAATTATAAATAAATAGTCTAAATTTTTCCTGAAAAATCAACTTTAATATGGTATACCCAATTTTAAAGGAATAATTATCAGATAACCAATAGTTAATTAATTATTTCTTTATTTAATAAAATAATAAAAATAACCAATAGTTAAGTGAAGGTATATATTATCTTTAGTGTGAGAGTAAAAAATAATAAAAGAAAATATAATTTAATTCTAAGAGAAGATCAAAAATAGTAGTGGTCTCTTTGTAAAAACATTGTCTGAATTGAAATACTGTTTAACAAATCATTATTAACTAATCTGAGTAATAGGACATTTAAATTTGTTATAACTTATATTTTGACTATGTTTACCTATTATTACTTAGAATATTATAATATTTGATATTTGAATAATGAAATAACATAAAATTAATAGTTATAAAAATAATAAGTGTAGAAACTTGAGGAAAATGTTAAACAGAAAAATGAATTATAGCTGCCACTTTATTTAAATATTATGGAGTCATTAATTTTTCACCTACAAAATTATTTTATAACTATAATTTTGTACTATATTTTGTTAATTTTGTATAAATTATGATAAAAAAAATAAAAAGTAAAGATCCCTTGAACCGAATTGACCTAGTCTAATTGGAATTCAATTATCAAGTTAGTTTGATGTCCGGTTCGATTTAAAAAAAATGGTCAAAACCACATTTCCAATTGCATCAATGGAAATAAAACTCATATAGGGTTGTAATGGTCCATTCTAATCCGACCAATGGAAATAAAACCATATAAGGTCGCAAGGTATGAAAGGTAAAAAGAAAATAGTTAGAGTTAATCGGGTGGTGTTCTGATCGATACTGTAATTTTTTTTGCTTTCCACAAAACTATTTTCTAATCTAATGTCATTTCAAAATTATTTTCCAATCTAATGTTTGTCCCGATATGGAGAGAGTGTGTTGCACTAAAACAACCAATTGAGTTGGTGATTTCAGTGCAATAGAAAAAATAACTCGTACTGACAAACAGTCAGAAAAAATTAGTTATATGAATAAATAAATAAAAATTTTTATTTTGTATTAAGACCATGAAACCAACTGTTGGTTTCAATACAAAATGAAAATTTTAAATTATCAATTTGATTTTTTACTAAAACACACAATTCGTTTGGTGGTTTTAGTGTAACTATGGGATGTGACCGTTAGTCAGTAAAAAGTACATGAAAAAAAAAGTATTTTGTTAAGAGTCCACAAGACTAATTAGTGGTTTCAATAAAAAATGGTTAATTATAATTTTAGTCTCCGAACTATAGAAAATGTTCTATTTCAGTGTTTCAACGGAAAATTTTTGTAATCAAGTGTTTAAACTCATTAAAACTTATTAGAACTTATTAAAAATTTTCAATTTAAGTGTCCGCGGCTTACATAGCGTGCCGGAAATACAACTAATCCGATAACTAACATACCAAGTTGGAATTTTTGCCAACTTGAAAAAATATATTGAGTTGTCAACTGTAATTGGACATTTTGAGTGGAACCTAGAAAATAAAAGTTACTAAAATAACATTGTCTTCTATTGTTCAAATTTACAAAAATCATGGGAAAGTTAGAGATACGAAAGAGATAGAATTCGTTGATAAACACAGATTAAGGTTTTATTAGTGCTTTAGAACTCTATAAAGCTAATAACTTTTTGATTTACTCGTATTGCATATAAAAAAAAAAAAAAAAAAAAAAAAAAAAAAAAAAAAACCGATAATACTAACATATCACAAAATTGAAATTTTTTTGGCCACTTGAAAAAAACTCATATTGAGTTGTCAACTGTAATGTGGACATTTCTGGAGGTTCTCTCGGAAAACCCGAAGCCGGGTAAGAGAAAAAAACATAAAAGTGTAACTAAAATAACTAATGTCTTCTAATTGTTTTCAAATTTTTACAAAATACATGGGAAAAGTTAGAGATAACGAAGAAGATAGAGAAATTCATCGATAAACAAGATTAAGAGTTTTATAAGGTAGCTTTAAGAGTTTCTATAGAAAAGAGCGTTAATATACTTATTGATTTAACTACAGGTATTGCATATAACAAAACAAAAAAAAAAAAAAAAAAAAAAAAAAAAAAAAAAAAAAACAAGATTTAAGCTTGCTACGCAGGCCAAATTACAGAGAAAGGAAAGAAGAAACAATGGTAACAATACAAGTCTCCGACGGCGGCTACAAACCACAAAGTGGACCCGTTAGAAAGAGAAACAATTGAATCCTACTACTATTCGTGTGAGGAAACCTTTTATTCCCGACTCTCTTTACAAGAGCCAGATCGTGTTCAGGTGAGAGGACAAAGAGAAATAATAATATTGTAAGTGATGATCAGGTTCAAGTGCCTGATAATCCTAAAAATATAGAATAGTTGATGTTGCTGTAGAGCAGCCTACAACCAATGATAACAATATTTTTCTTTCAAGCTTCAATATGTTGCCTGTTTAAAAAGAAAAGGCAAATCGTGTTCAGGTGAGAGGACAAAGAGAAATAATAATATTGTAAGTGATGATCAGGTTCAAGTGCCTGATAATCCTAAAAATATAGAATAGTTGATGTTGCTGTAGAGCAGCCTACAACCAATGATAACAATATTTTTCTTTCAAGCTTCAATTTGTTGTCTTCGTCTCTTCCTTTCAATAATTTTCAGATCACTAACTTCAATTGGGTGGTTTTTGTAAATTTCAACAATAGAAGGAAATGTTATTTTAATAATTTTTATTTTTTTGGGTTTCACTAAAAATGACTAATTACAAGTTGACAACTCAATATATTTTCTCAAGTCAATAAAATTCAAACGTGACATCTTTGCTATGGGATTAGTTGTATTTTCGGCATTAAATCACAGGCACTTGATTGAAAATTTTTAATGAGTTCAAACACCCAATTGCAAAAGTTTTCCATTGAGGCATCAAAATAGAACATTTTCCATAAGACACTAAAATTATAATTAACCCAATAAAAAAATATTTATTCACTCAAAATATTTTTTTCACTAAAACACACATATAATCTGGTGGTTTTGGTGCAATATATTTGATATGTGCTACGAACTAGACCTTGGATTTCATTTCAAGGTACAGAAGTTGGAGTTGTGATAATTATTCATTTTTTTTTTTTTTTGTCTTATCTTATAATTTCTTAATCTAATTGAATAATATATTTTGCTCTTATTTCCATAATATTTTTTTAATACAATCAGAGGGCTCCAACATCATTGAATAATAATATTTTGCTCTTATTTCCATAATATTTTTTTGAGAGTACAATCTAGAGGGTCCAAACATAATGATATTATTCTGACAGAGTTGTCAGCATCACCAAGCAAGGTAGGTATTATTTATAGTGGCGCGATAGCACTTAGCCGTCGAAGATTACGTTAGCCTAAGTACGGATGCTGGCAGATGAATGAGAGAAATATTACATCACATGATATACCATCCTCTCTACCAGGCTTCAAGCCGCACCGTTTTCCATGCTATAGAGTTCCTTGTGTCTTCTCTAACCACACCTAAACGAAAACTACAAGAGTCGAAAGAGATGTGGCCAATAAGACCACTCTAGACGTATTCCAAGTTGAAAGTCTAGCTCATTTAGAGGCCAATAATATCTATGAGGGACTTTCTAAGTCTACCACCCCTTGTTGATATCTAATAAGGCCGAAACGCTAGCTTCCGTTGAAAGGTTATTGCATGAGTTGGGGAAATATTCGGCTAACAATCTCCCAGTAGGAAGCAAGCTAATCTATATAGTGCCCCCTTTCTAGAACACACAACCAAACATAAACAGCTATTCTGGTAAATGTATAGGGTATAACGCAGACTCCCACGTAACAATTAAAAATTAACCATTGGACATTCATATACAACTTCAGATGATGGTAACCCATTAGGCCGCATAAACGAGGAGCACCATATTTAGCTGTTTTTTCTTCGGAATGCAAAAATAAAGGTCGAAATGAATTAACAAATGGCGCCATTGTCAATATACGGAACCGGCCCTAACTTTCAAAATAACATTATGCGGCGTGTTGCGGCGGACCCACTAGTTCCCTTTTTTTGGGCCTTATATAGATGCGTGACGTGGATGGAATTTAACATGCTCTGGCATGTTAGGTATTACTGGAAAATGACATCATTTATAATAGATAATTTATCTTATTGAGAGAACGA